TTTTTACATCACCGCCGATAAAGTTTGCAGTTGACCTGGGCAACCACTGTACCGTTGCTCCTCCGGGAAATTGTGCAGCTCCTGCTGGATTCGAACGCCCATGAAATTCAGCAACGTACCGTGGCTGCGGCCGGAACCCAGGGAGAAAAGTGTGGCCGCCTGTTGCTCGATCTGTCGAAACGTGTGATAAGCGGTGATGCTGACAGGCAGATCGATAGCGCGGCCGTCACTCGTGCAGAAAAGGCCGCGGCTCGGATCCAACTTGAACAGAGGCGGCTTCAGAAGACCCTCTTGGGCGGCCAGCGTGAACACCGGGTTCGCCACGCAGCCTCCTTCGATCCACGTTGCACCCATCTCGGCCACCACGTCGCCAAACCAACACGAATGAATCCGGCCTCCCGGTCTGCAAGCAACACTCGTCACGCTCATTCGAAATCTCGAGCTAATGTTCAGAACAATTAGAAAATCCCTTTTGAAATATCAGCCTTCATCTGTTGTTTCAAACGAAGAAGGAATAGAATTCTTGCATTGGCTGTCTTGCATTAGATGAATTCTAGTTCTGCCAACTTGAATTTCAAGGTCAAAGAAAGTAAACCTTTCCCAAGGAACCATAGGTTTTTTTTTTTATTCGTTTAACACTGCGGACGCGTGCGTTCTAACAGCGACTTTACGGATATGTCTATTTCACGTAATTCTCGTACTAAATTTCACTAATTCACATTTGAATTATCATAGTTGTGTCAGTGTGAATCTAGACAATCAAACGATAAAGCTAGTTGTTAACATTATTCGAAATATAAACATTAATATAGATATCCACGCGTTCAGAATCATAAAGTCGCTGTTAGCACGCACATGTTAAATGAATGAAAAACTTTTCTGCCATTTTTTTCGGGAGAATTTTTTTCGCTTGGAAATGAGCAGAATACAAAAGAAACTAGAAAATTTTGACTTTGAAGTTCAAGGTCAGCTCCTTTGCATGTATTTCCATCGAATTTTTCTTGCCACTCTGAACGTAAAATATTACGTTTCTTTGCATGAACGTCGAATTAAAATCTCGGACTTCATGGACTTCTTTCAGATTCATCAAGCGAATGAAAAGTACTCTTCTACTAGAATATTGCCACTACCTGTATCAAAACCAAATATCGATGCTATCTAAAAAAAGAACAAGCCCAATTTTCTAATCAATGTATTGTTCCACTATCAAAGTTGTTTCAATATCCTCGTAAATGATATAGGTTACATTGAACTGATAAAAAAAAATGTGTAAATTTTCAATAAATTTTTAATGAAGCCCAGAAGATCTAAAGTTTTTTCGTTGTAAAAATTACTGTACAACGAAAGAGTTAAAATCTAACGAGCATTAAATTTGAAATATACCTATCCGTTGCCTCTAGTATCGTGAAATTTTGAAGACCACACTGTGCCAGACGATGGGCCGCCGAAAGCCCGGCCATCCCCGCGCCGATGATCACCACTGTTGGTTCCGGTTTGCATGGATCCAGCATGCACGGGTCCAACTGACACGACTCGAATCTGGCTAGTTTCGAACATGCTGGTATATCCTTCCCTCCTCCATCTTTACTCGATGCGAGATTTCTGCTTGCATGCGCAATACGATTAACTAATTTCACCTTTGGATAAAAGGTGAGAGTTTTTGATGAATTATTTTCTAAATTATTCCTTCGGCTGCGCGAACGTTCCACGACAGAAACGATTCGTGCAATTTGACGAAATACTTGAGGAAAACATCGATCGCGATTACGCAGCGATTTTTAATATAATCAAACGATTGTAAACGTAATTTTTGTTGACACAGATTTAAAAAAATTTTCTTATCTAACTTGACGTAGACAGTGGACTAGAGTCTAAACATCTTACAAACCTTACTTAGTAAGAAGCCTCTGTATTAATTATTTGCTGTTTTTGTTGAAGAAACGACAGATAATTGATACAGAAGGGGGGGGGAGGGGGATTTAGGTTAAATGTCAGCATCTTTAAATGTCTACCTTACTAGAACTGTTCGAAATATTCGGAACGATGATCTGGCCCTCTTAAGTAGCATCTCATTGGACGTAAATCGGCGAAACTAGCGAATTTGTTCATGAAGACGACGGAGTTTAATCTTGATTTAGGAGAATTTAGGCGTGATTAAGGTGTGTTTCTTATTGCTATGACGAGAGCGTGTCACAAGCGCAAACAAACGACCATTACCGTCATGATGTTTTATTGTTGAGAGTATTGGTCAAAGCCAACTATGGTCAAAATGTCAATCGATCGTTCAATTTAGTTACGTTAATCAATTTGATCGAATAATTATAAATCATCGGGTATTTGAATCATAATGATTCATGTATTTGAAATTCTTGATTGATTTAAAGTTGACGATGGCAAATAAATATTAAAATATTCTAAGTCTAGTTCTTTTATCGAAGTAAATCATAATGTGAACGTGTAAACATCAAGGATTGAATATGGTTGACATGAAATGCTAAATCTCTTACTGCTAATAAAAATACATATATCCACATACTGTTTGATTTTTTCTTTTCTTTTTTTAACAAAATCATTGACTTTATCATTAAACTTTCTGATTCTGCCACAGCCGAGTTTTCAAAGACTCCTCCGATCCTTCCTCCAGCGAAGGAGTCACGGATCGCAGGATTTCTGTCGCTTGACTCGTGATCTCGTCCCACGCAAACGTTAAGTCCTCCTCGCGAGTTAAACGGGAGCCCACCACGAACCGTACGATCAGTTTCTCGCGGTACATCGCGGCAATTACGTAAATCTTTCTTCGAGCTGTCAGACGATTGATAAGCTCGTGAGTCAAGTGATCGTCACCCTGTGAAATCAGAAATTAAGAATTAATGAAATCACGAAACACACCTGGCCAAGTGTCAGTTTCCAAATATTTTCCGTTGAAGATACCTTCATTCTGAAGCAAACTAAAGACAAAGATCTCTTCGTCACTAGTTCAAACCGGCTGTCAGACTTAACGTAATTTTCAAATAATTCAGCCAGTTTTATACAGTGTCGTATATAGTGCTGGATTCCTTCGACCCCGTACGTACGAAGGACAAACCAAGCTTTCAACGAACGAAAACGACGGCCCAAAGAAATCTGCCAATTCTGAAAAGTAATTAAGTCTCAGATAGCACCGAGAACCGCATTGGATTGTTAATTAAGTAGTATACGAAACGTAAGTTGCAACGTGATGTTTGTTTATTTTCTAACTTCTGTAAATAAATGTCTGAAGAATTAGTTACTCTGTAATCCGGGATAAGTCCTTGTTTGTCGTGTTTCAAATAAATCCTGTCCACACTGCACGCCTCAACGAGTTTCCTGGAATCTTTCAGCCTGAAACAATTTTGTTCGATCGTATTGTACTGTCGTTGCATTATCTACAGTCTGTTCCATGATCGTAGAATAAAAGCGTGTCTGTACCATA